TCATCCCGTGGGCCACCAACCCCATGGCCATCATCCCCATGGCCACCAACCCCATGACCATCATCCTGTTGGCCACCAACCCCATGGCCATCATCTCCATGGCCACCAACCCCATGACCATCATCCTGTTGGCCACCATCTCCACGGCCACCATCCCAGTAGCCACCATCTCCACAGCCACCAACTCCACGGCCATCATCCCGTTGGCCATCATCCCGTTGGCCACCAACCCCGTGGCCACAATCTCCGCGGCCATCCCCTTGGCCCCCAACCCCGTGGCCACCATCCCCGCGGCCACCAACCCCATAACCATCATCCCGTTGGCCACCAACCCCGCGGCCACCATCTCCGTGACCGCCGCCTTCACCACCGTCATCTCGGTAGCCGCCGCTACCGCTAGCCAACTCCAGCGACCGCTTGCCCAACCCCAACCTAGGTAGCCCACGCTCGAGCGAAGCCAGGAGGACGCACGTCTTGCAGAGCGGTTGACTAGCGGCAAAGCCGCAACGTCCGCACGCCCCCAACGTTTTGGTGGCCACCTCCGTAGCCACCGCTAACCGTCGACCCGAATGACCCAAAGCGGCCACCGTACTGGGCCTGGTGGCTTCCAAATCTTTGAGAAGGTTCCGCGCGTGGCCGCGGTAGGCGTGGGGGGCGTAGACGCACTCGGTGCTGACGTAGTCCAACCCTTCGAAGTAGGCGTAGAGCACGATCTCCTTCTCGTAGGCGTGCCTCAAGGGCTTGCAACGGGGCACGGCCGGCCACGGGGTGGCCACTGGGACCTCCTGGTTGGCCACGAGGTCTTTGGTGGCCTTGAGATGCCGGTCGGTGGTCTTTGGGATCTTTTTGGCAGTCTTCGCGGAGCTCCTGGTGGTTTCCGTGGGGTTTTTGGTGGTTTCTGTGGAGCTTTTGGCGGTCATGGAGCCCGCAGGGATGTTCACGGAGCTCCTGGTGGTCTCCATGGGCTTCGTGGTGGTCTCCACAGGGCTTGCGCTGGTCTCCGTGAAGTTCTTGGTGGTCACGGAGCCCGCACGGACGTTCATGGAGCTCTTGGTGGTCTCCATGGGCTTCGTGGCAGCCTCTGGGGGCGTCTTTGTGGCCCCCATAGAGCTCGTGGTGGTCACAGAGTCCTCAGAAACCTTTATGGAGCTTCTGGTGGTCTCCATGGAGCTCGTGGTGGTCTCCATGGGGTTCTCGGTGGTCATGGAGCCCACGGGGCCCTTCATGGAGCTCCTGGTGGTCTCCACGGGGCTTTTGGTGGTCCCCATGGGGTTTTTGGTGGCCTCCGTGGGGTTCTCGGTGGTCCCGGAGCTCTTTGAGACCCCTGCGGGGCTCGTGGTGGCCTCCGTGGCCTCCCCTGGAGCCGTGGTGGCCCCCG